ATGCAAATAATACAACAATGCTAAAACTTTCTAGAAAACATTTGACCACCTTGTGTAATTCTATTATATTTAATAGATTAATTTCTATAATTGCTTACCTAAGTACCTAGTTTACACTAATTTTATAATTGAAGTCAAGTACAAGCTGCCAATATAAACACATAGTTTTCTTTACTACATGTAAGTAAAACGACTTTATGAATAAAAATTGGCGTGCTTACTTTTCCTATATCTATGAGCAAAGCAGCCTTTGCTATTGCAAGAAACTCTCCATCCTCCTTAATTTTTTTCTCTAACACATTCTAAAAACACACACAATAAATAGAAAGAAAAATAAGTATAAATTAAACTTTTCAAACAATTACTACCTCCGATTCTATTTATAAAAGAAAAATTACTTTTTAAATTTATTAAGTAATCAGATAAAATGCATAGATTATTTCATGTTTATATAGTATTGTACTCCATGTGACTAAACCACATGCTGGACCATTAATTTAATGAGGTTGATACATGCAATAAAAGTACTCATAAAACTTAACATAGCATATGCAAACCATATTAACATAGTTCATTGCACGTGGAATTTTGTGATAGTACATAGAAAATGAACGCACTCATGTCTTGATATTTAACTAAAAAATATGACTTTTATTGATTACTTTCCAAGAACTTGGTGTAACAGCTTTTTTGCTTTAGCTCAAAGTTATAACTCTCATATATTTGTCTTTCCAAAGCCAAACCAAGATTGAAAATGGGAACTCTTATGTCTTTACTTAAGGGTAGCACCTACAAAATGTGCACCCACACTTATTGCTAAAGTGTACTAAATACTAATCTATACACAATGTCTATGTCACATCACTTTTGTGTAATATAAATAAGTGCTATGCATGTGAGTGGAGGTTATTAGGGTTTCTTCATGATACACATATGCAATAAAATCGAACCGATTTATAATAAAGGTTTTTCGAACAGAATCAAATTGTTTTAAAATTTATTCATAATTGACCCAAATTAAACATATCAGTTCAGTTATTTTAAATTCAGGTCGGTTCAAACTAGATTGTTCTAAATAATAGTATTAAATTGTTGGTCGATGATGATTAGGGTTAGGGTTAGGGTTGGTTTGTTAAGATGTAATTTTGGTTGAAATGTTAGGCAGTAGAAAAGACAAATAAGTAGCTGGACACACATAATGATAAAAATATGAAAAATACAAGAGACAAATAACATCCGTAGATGTTTGTGTGTGTTCCCAATTGAAGGTATGAGGAAATGAGAAATTAGGTGTGCCATGGGCAACTCTACACAGCACCTGTCCCTTTCTTTTTGCTGCTAACTTTTGGACTTTTCCTTTTCCAATAAGATCCGTATCTCTAGTCATTACTTGACCCCTCACTACACAAACCCAATTTATGTTATTTTCAGCTACTAGTATTTCAATTCTTAGTACACCTTTTACTAGTAATAAACACTCTTATTTGGCATTTATCATTTGTCACTTTAACCAACAAATATTTATATGCTTATATTTTTGGATATTATTAGAGTTTAACTTTAAGTCAATCTTACAAAATCAGCGTGTATAAAGAGTCTATTTATATAAATTTTTTGTGTGTTTTAATTTTAATTAATGTTAGATTTGAATTTTATTTTCATATTTGACGTTTTTATTTATTTTTTAAAGTTTTGGATTTGGTTGTGTCACTGTCTAATTTAAAAGAATTAATCTCATTGTCCACTTATGAGAGTTTCATTTAAATATAGAACAAAATTTTACATGAGCTGACTAACACAAAAATTATTACTGTGTTCTAGATTGTTACTATGTTCTAGCGGAATTCAAACTTAAAATTTTGAAAAAAAGCAAATTCTCAAAACTTAAACATTCACCATTTTTTTCTTTAAATTAAGTTCAAATTCAAATTTAAAACTTTGATTCAGTTCAATTGATAAAATTTAGATTACACACATTCGTCCAAATTCAAACTTGAACCAGTTCAACTAAACTTAATTCAATTGCAAATGTAAATATTATTAGACTAGTCCCTTCATCTAGATTCAAATGGGAGACTTTGAAATGGTTTTAATGAAGAAAATATCAATATTACTAAATCAGATACCTTAATAGAATCCAACCTGAAAGTTCATTTGGAACTCGTTCAAATAAAAATAAATATCAATATTACTAAATCGAACACCCTTAATAGAATTTAAACTTGAAAATCGTTGGAACTAGCTCAAATGATAAAATATCAATGTTACCAAATCAGACACTTTTAGTAGAATTTAAACTTGAAATTCGTTTCCAAGACTCATTTTAACACATAAATATTAATATTTTTTTTAAAGGTAATACATTCATTAGATTAAGAGAAGACATACAATACATATTTCAAAGGACATTTATATATCCTATATAAACAAAGTTTATAGTCAAATCTAAACAAAAACCTACATAATTATAAAAAATGTTACAAATAGAATGCTCACAAGCTAATAGAATAGAAACACACGAAGCAACATCTCATCATCCAGTTAACCAATCTCTTGCGAACACGACCAATGGCTAGATAGAAAAGAGAATCCACAATCTTTTTCCAAATCCAATTACAAATAATTTCTTTGACTTGTGTATGCACATTTCAACTATCTTTAATCTCAATATTGTCCATCTTTATCGAATGTTCTAAGATAAATGTAGGCACAACTCCAAGACACAAAACACTTTTGAGGTTTTTTGTCAAACGTCTTGAGTGCAAACTTAGACTTCAATAGACAAAGACACAAAACAAAAACCACCTAAACATAAAAAAGATTAGGCAAACCTAGCAGAGGCTGCAAGATGTAGAGTATCCATTTAGAGGTTGATGAATGGTTGCTGACAACAGAGGTGAACAAGCAACTACATAGAGGAGAGGTATCTTCACTGTTAAGCTTGAAATGTGAAAATCTACCATTGCAAACTTTTCATTTCTTGGTGGTGGCTTTGGTGGTGGCCTTAGATACGGAAAGAGATGGGTTGACGGTGGTTTGAAGTGGAGAACAGGGGTAATCAAAGAGTGAGTTTGTCATGGTGAGAACATGTGAATGAAGTTGAAAGGAGTGGATAATACTCTCAATGGAATCGAATAGTGAGTTTGTCATGGTGAGAACATGTGAATGAAGTTGAAAGGAGTGGATAATACTCTCAATGGAAGAGGGAGTAACCACTATAAATGTGGAAGAGGAGAGCTACCATAAAGGTGAGAGGCGGTCACCAAATCTTAAAGGGTTAGAAAAAAAATTTAGAGAGCAAGGAGAACATTCCTCTCTAAAAAATTAATCAATATCCGTTATATAAATATCAATATTGTTAAACTAATCACATATTGAAATTTAAATCAACTTGTTCCAGCAAACAAGTAACAATATTAATAGATTAAACACCTTTGTCTGAATTCAAACTCGGAATTTTACTATTGTAATTGTGTATTGGAATTTTACAATTGTAACTTTACATGTGAGTTTCATGTTCTGATACTAGCTACTTAATCTCTAGGTAAAATTAAAAGTCCTTCGATTTAGCTTTCTAAGAGCAACTTTACGCAGGGTTGTTAAATCAAAATTCTTTATAGCTTAAGTTAGTAATAAGGAATTTGCATTATAGTAGAGCTAACATGGTATCCAAATGAACTAAAATTTAGTTCTCATTATCTATATAGTTAACATTAACTATTCATGTAAAACCTATTATAATATTATTTAATATTAATAAAATATTCTAAATATTCCAACAACATTAAAGCAAGGTATGATATTTAAAAATAGTAACGGTCATATTATCATTTTTTACCTTCTATAAATTCTATAGAAATTTTAATTTTTTTTACACACAGTTTTACTTCTAAATTTTTTTCTTTCAATTTCCAATCTTATTTATTTATCAAATGGATCTCAACCAATCGAATCCTTATTATAATTATATTCCTATAAAAATGTAATTTTTTTTTATGTATTATTGTTGTGAATTTTGTATCATTTTTAATTTTATAATAAAATATATTTAATATTATTTTTAAGTTTTTAAGATAAATTTTATTTAAAAAATTATATGTATTTTAATTAAAATAATTAAATTAATGGTAACTTGAATAAAAAATATAAAATGTGGGGTTAAGTTTTGGTTTCTTATAAACAACCATCATTAAAGTAAAAACTACTCAAATCAACTATAAATTTTTTAAATCCTACAAATCACTTTGAGCCCACAAAAAATATCTTAATTTACCCATTTGGTTTACTCCCACTAAAGATGCTCTAATACATATTCTTCTTCTCATTTAGTTTAATTATAATCTTGTGTGAATTGTAAGACTCGTCTATTTAACTAATTCATGTATATCAATGGAAACACAATGAAAAAACATTAATATCAAGATAAATTAGAAAAGTAACCTTTATGCTTATGCATAAAACCCACTTATTGAAAAGATTGATTGCATGCAATGCATTAATATGTCTAAGTTCAATCAAGAATTACTATTATATAATATAATATAATATAATATCATATATGAATTCAACTTTGCCCACTCAACTATAATTGAGCAAGTGCCAAATTTGTACACCATCTCAATTTTAGTCAAACAAATCACTAGTTTCATGATACACATAAATCTAATAAAATCATACAAAAATCAATTACTAAATAAATTTAAAAAATAAAAAATAAAATGAAGAACTTAGTCAATATTATTAAAATTATATTATATATTTATTACAATAACATGGAAGAAAAAACAACAAGAACACCAACAATAGTGACTCAATCATAGAAAAAACACAACCTTAAAGTGTGAACACAAACAAGGTTCATTTATAGAAACAGAACCTAACAAGTTTCACCCTCTTTATGAACCATTACTACTAATACTACACATTCATCATTATTCCTTATCTCTCTCTAAACTCTCAAGCATCACAATTTCTTCATCAGATTCAATCAATCTTCAAACTCAATAATGCATCATGTTCATGTCTGCAGAAGCCATGATTGGTTGATTCAAATAAGCCATATTCAAAGGGCTATTGAAGTTGTTATTGTTAATATTATCAAGAGGCTCAAAAACACCATTTGTAACATTCATGAAGTTGATGATCTCATTCAAAGACTCAAATCTGTTGTTGAGTTCATTCAATTGAGCTCTTAGCACTGAGTTCTCAGATTCAACAGCCAAGAAACGTTGAGTTGTGAGATTCACAGATGTTAGAATCTGTTGATTCTCATTCCTTAGTTGAGTTACTTGAAGAGCAAGATCATCTAAGTGTTTTTGTTTCCTCATTCGAGATCGCCTTGCCGATTCGCGATTCGATATCATTCTCTTTCTTTTTCTTTGATCCATTAGAAGCATCAAATCTTCCTCTGAACCTGAGTTTGGAAGCGTTGAATAGCCTGAAGAAGTTCCACTTGAAGAAGCCATGTGAGATTTTGCAGAAACAGAACCTAAAACAGAGGAAAACAGAACACAAAACAGAGGAAAACAGAGCACAAAAACAGAGGAAAACAGGGCACAAAACAGAGGACACAGGACCCAGAAACTAATATAAAGAAAAGAGAAAAAAAAATGCTGAAAATGAAAATTTATGTAATAAAAAGAGAAAAAGGATTAAGAAATAGAAATCATGAAACGTAGTAGAGCCAGTAAAGGAAAACAACAGAGAAAGATTGAACTAAATGGGTCCTGCGCCTAACAGTAGAATTGATCATACAACCAGAAAAGAAAATTTCACTCAGAATTTGATACATGAATCTCAAACATCAATAACAATATGTTAAGCATTTAAGATTTTTGAAGCTTTTTTTTTATGTTTCAAATCAAAATAAGCTTCAAAAATGAATTTGATGCTGAAAAAAAAAACAGAGGAAACAGAGGTTTTCAAAGAGAGAGAGAAAGAAGGGGAAAGTGGAAGAGGAGTGAAAGGGTTTGAAGGAGTGAATTTATAGAAGAAAAAGGTAACAAGTGGATGAAAAAATAATATTGAGTAGTACAATGAAATCTAGAAAGATAATAAAGAGAAGAAAAAGGGAGGGTCCAAAATCATTTAGCTTTTTTTTTTTTTTTCTTTTGAGATATAGAAAAAGATAATAAAAAAAATAGGGTTATTTTGAAAAGTGTGAGAAGTAAGTAGATTGGGAAGAGATATACAGCTGGGAACCAGCAATCACATAGGACATAGTATGTCTTATTTGAAAATACTTCCAAACCATAAGGCATCTTCATTGTTACTAATATTCTTAAAAAAATTAACTCTAGAGGGATGATAATGGCAATAATATCCAAGTGCAATTTTAGATAAAAATGATTTTTTATCTATTTATTTAATAATAAATGTATTTAGTCTAGTATTTGAGTAGATACATTAATTAAATTTATTAAATAATAAATATATTTAGTTTAGTGTATTTTTTTTAATAAATAGAATTGAAAAGAGTATTTATATTCATTTTTATATGTGTATATATTTATTAAATAATTATTCAAAATATCTATGTTCATGTCATCAATTCTGTGATATAAGTGAGTCTCGTTTGATATAATATATTATTTTATATTTTTTAATTATTTAAATAATTCAATTATATTTTTTTTAATATTCATATCACTTATTTAAAATTTTAAAATTAGTCATACTAATCTCATAGTATATTTTAATTTTTATATTAATATTAAATATTTAAATAAATAAATTCAATTAAATTAAAATATATCAAATAAACACCAATAAATTATAAGAAAATACATTAAAAATATTCATAAACATCACAATAAACTACTAATAGAAAATATAATAAATGTTTAAAATGGTTTTTAGTTGTCATTATTCTCATACCCAAAACGTTTTCATATATCATCTATAAAGTTTTGTTGAAGGTGTCGATGAATTTTCTTGTCACGAATATGATGTCTTCTACGTAGGAACTCTTAAAATCATTATCAGAATCATCTAGTGCTGCAGTCGGGTCATTGCCTAGATTAGATGCTCATATGAATAATCAAAATTGCCACCATATGTGTCACGTTCATTTTCAACAATTATGTTGTGTAATATGATGCATGTATTCATTATACACTTTAGTGCGCCCAAGTGCCAAGATTGAGCTAGGTTACGTATGTTTGCAAATTGGGATTTGAGAACTCAAAATGCTCATTTGATATCCTTTCTCGCGCCTTCTTGATATTGGGCAAATAATTTTCTCTTATCCTTTTCTAGCATTGAGATGCTTTTCACAAATGTGACACATTTAGGATAAACATCATTTGATAGATAATAATGATTGACTATATAATGGATCTCAAGAGCTCGCCCTTGCATAACATTGTTGAAAATATCATATTGATTCAGCACATTGATATCGTTGTTCAAACCTACTACCCTAAAGAATTTGTGCCAAATTCATAAGTCGTGTTAAGCAACAACTTCAAGCATAACAATGGATTTACCATGATCGCATCAAACTTATTTCCTTCTCAATGCAATCAGGTAATTTTCCATTCCCAATGCCTACAATCAATGTTCCCCATAAGGCCACGTGCCTCCCCCATCTACAGTAGACGCTCGATGTCCTAAGTGGTCGGCTTTCCGATATTGTGGCCCAAATACACTGATCACACCCCTTGTAAACTTATCAACATATTTTAGTGTTGTGGTTTCGTCAATTCTCAAATAGTCATCTACACTATCAATAGATGCTTCATATGCCAACATACGAGTAACTGCGATGCACCTTTGTAGTGGTGAAAGACTTGATCTACTAGTTGCATCAACCCTAAGCCGAAAATACTCATCATGTTGACCAAGAGCTTCAATGATACGAAGGAATATATGTTTATGCATTTGATATCTGTGGCAAAACTGCTCATTTGTGTACACTAGTTCTTTTGAAAAATAATCATTGAATAAACGCTCATGTCCTTTTTCATGTTTCCTCTCTATATTCCTTCTTTGGGGTCAAGGTCTATTGGAGCTTGTGTCTTCTTCTTGTGCTTCATTTTCAAAGTAAAGTCTCACAAGTTCTTCATCCATGTCATCATTCATATAATCCATGAACATTTTCAATGTGAGAAAGGTTGGAAGGTTCCATGTTAAATGAAGTTTGATAATGAATGAAAAAAGATAGAAGTTAGGAATGATTGTGAAATTTAGTTTGCATGTTATAATATTTAGTTTGAATAATGGTTAGTTTGAATAACGACTAGTTTGAATGACGACTAGTTTGACTAACGACTAGTTTGACTAACGACTAGTTTGAATAACAGCTAGTTTGAATAAAACTGAGTTTGGATAACGACTAGTCTAATAAAATTGAGTTTAAATAATATGCCAACCTACATATTAATCTCAATTAAGTCTAACATACATAATAGCTAAGTTTAAAATACATAAAAACGACTAATAATATACTAAAAACTATAATAGTTAAGTCTAGAATAATTACGAGAATCTAAAAATGATCTAACATACATGCTATTAATTAAGTTCATATTTTTCTCTAATTAATTCACACAAAAATTCATGAGCTTGTAGTTTTCTTGGATTCACATTTGCTGTATCTGAAATTCCGGTATGCATATATCAGATGTCCTAAGAGATGTTGAGACACTAATATCTGTTTAAAACACAAGGACAAAATATAACACAGTTAAAAGTGCAGAAATTAACAAGACATAAAGAATTGTTAACCCAGTTCGGTGTACAATAACACCTATGTCTGGGGGCTACCAAGCCAGGAAGCAAATCCACTATTAGCAGTATCAATTCAAAGCTAAACTCCCATGTTTACAACGTCTCACTTAATACCTAAACAGTGCAATTTCTACCTAAGACGCTCCTAAATATGAGAATTCCCTCTCACTTCCTACCAGTCACCAATAGCAGTGATAAACATAACAATACATCAGAAGACGTCACACTTCAAAGACACACAATCACTCAATGCTTAAAAGCTTAGGAGTGATTGACAAAAATTACAACTTAATAACAACTATCCAATTCAAACATCTAGAGAATGAATGAATGGCTCATAAATAGTCTACCTCAATGTATCAAAAGGTACATGAGTGACACAATACATCAGCACACTAAAAGACAGTCAAACTCTAAACCCTTATTTGCATACACGATTTCTTCAAGAATTATTCCACACCTATTTTAGGTTTAGTAAGTCTGTTTATATAGTCTCGAGCAGAATGGGCTTGGACTCTTCCATTTTTTCAGTTTTAACCTCTCTGCAAAATCTTCTCTACAATAACAGGAACAAATCTCCAAAGTTTCCTAAAACGTCTTATCATCCAATTTTAGCGTTTTATGTACAGTTGGAGATACAAAATCTTGTTCATGATATCATCTTCTTGACCTGCGTAAATTACAGAGATATATCCAACATGAATATCACAGAATTAAAACAAACCAAATCTTTCAAGTTTTAAAACACTCAGAATATATGTTCTGGTAGAACATGTTCCAACATCTGTTAGGACATCTACTCTCAAGGAGAGTTGAGCAACATGTTACAATAATACACACAACATCATGTAGTGAACCATGTTTTAGCAAAATTGTTGCTAATCCATAAACCATGGAACCTTCAATCTCCCCCTTTGGCAAATTTTGGCTAAAACACTTTTTGCACAGTAAACCCTGGAGAGAGGAATAAAACCACAAAACCAAAACAACACTAGTTTCATTACATGTAACTATTCTAATTATGTACATGAGAAAGAAGATAACCTACATCTTCAGGAATTTCCAAGATACTCCCCCTATACCACATAACCGATCCTTGTCACAAAGAAATAAATCTCTCTCTCGGATTGGAAGAAGAAACTTTTCTAAAGCAAAAGAAAACCAACTTGGACACAAGCTTGAACTAAACTAGTTTAAGTTATTAGAAACACATATGGAAGAAGCCACAATCATTAGAAACACATATGGCACAAGACATAAGATTCCAAGGTACAACCAGAATGACAGAACATCTGGTAGGACATTACAACACAAGTGCGTACCTTTTTGGAGAAACTATACTTTTCTCTCACTGTTGTGCAAAAATTTGACAAAAAAAAAAACTAACTCTGCAAGAACAACAATACACCAGTAGAAAAGGAAACAAAATAGTTCAAATACACACCAAAGGAAACAAACAGAAACAACCTAAGACACCAAATGAAAACAATTGAAATTGTGACCTTAACACAAAAAAAAAAAAAAACATAGACTAGTTATTCCCTCAAACCTTATGAGTTAACAAATTGAACTCAGTCTTCATCACCATTACCACCAGAAACAAGATCCTTAGAACGAGATTTCTTTAAGAATGTGACCTTTGTCACATAAGTTTTCCCTGTCAGGACAACTCCTGTTGATGATCCAGTAGATGTCACAGCCCTTGACTGATCCTTCTTTTTGTTCAGAGCTTCCT